GAAAACTCGTACACTTTTTGCATATTAAACACTTTTCCTATTGCCTTTGCATTCAAGCTGCAAAAATACAAAACGCCATTGTTAAGAGAAGCAATTCTCTGTAAGGGGAGGAGGAGACGATGTAATTTAACCTTGATAGAAGAAAATAGAAAATGCAATTGGAATTGTATGTAACCTCAAGTATTTTTTTTTAGTTTTTGCTTTGTCTTCTTCGTATTCATTGGCATTTGTAATTCAATCTATAAGAATTGTTCTAGTGGATTGGATTCTCAATAGATGTGTTGTTATATGGAAAACAAATAATACTTTGCGGTTTAGGTTTTTTTTATCTCATTTTCCGTATAAATATTCAATATTTTGTTTAGATTAACAGTTTATTGAGTATTGGCAAAGTGTGTTTGTTTGAAAACTTTGGGTGACATAAAAAAAGAGAGATGAAGTGGAATACAGTGACACAATAAATTATGTAAGTTGTGGGAATGGAAAATATTTAATAATAATAGGTCAATATTTCATTGAATACTTATCGACCCAAGTTGGGTATCACCTAATTTTTTTTCTCTAGGAAAAAATCGACCCATGGGAGGTCACATTTTTATACCCAACACAACTATGTTGTCAGGGTATTATAGATTTGTGCAGCCCCAAAAGTTTGTAACACCGCGAAATATTGGTCCTAGACCCATTTTTAAGTATACCGATCGTCATATCTCGACTAGCTGAGTCGATCTAGACATGTGTGTCCGTCCGTCTGTCCATTATAATTTGTAAGCACGATACAGGCCACAGTTATGGACCAATCTTCACGAAATTTTGCATGTAGGATGGGTTCTGGTCAATGTGTTTGGTAAAGATCAGTTAATATTTAGGGGATGAAATGGACCAAAAACTTTATTTTTGTCTGATATTCTGTTGGCTCCAGAGGCCGCAATTATGGCCCAAACATCGTGAATTTTTAAATGGAGAAGGGGATCAGGCCAAAGAATAAGCATGCATGTTTTGATAAAGATAGGTCAATATTTAGCGGGTCAAATGGACCCTGATTTTGTGTGAAAAACGACAAAATTTGTATTCCATGGCATATATGTTTACCCCTGAATTACATAGACCCGAGAAGTTGATAGTATATCCAAGAGGAGTGGTTGACCTATAAATTGATACCAATTATATTGTCGTATGTACTCGGATGTGGGTGTTACACTTAAATGTTTACAGCTGCTTACGTATTCATATATTATTTTGTACCACACTAGAGGGCGAAAATATAGCGCTGATCGCTTTGGAATTTTCCATGAGTATCCAGGTATGGTCAAAGACAACGCCTATAATTTTCGGTGATGATCAGATAATAATTTTGGGATGAAGTGGACCGAAAACTTAATTTTGTTGTATTTTTTCGAATCGATCTATAGGCCACAATTTTAAGCCGAATATCACAACACAACTTACGGTGAAGGAAATCTGGACAAGTAATTAGAAAGGTTGTACTGAATATTACTAATATTCGGAAGAGGTGCTGTTGACCTCTAATCGGGCAAGAGGGTGCAAATATCACGAAATAATGCACAGGCTTGAAATAAACATCTGCAAAAAGGTAGAGTTCCATGGAAGTTGTGTAGGGTATCGCTTGGTCGGCCCCGTCCGACTGCTCCGCTCATTGGTTTTCTTTAGAAAAAATATATATTTTTTTAAATCATCGCCTGTTTGCAGCTTGAAAAAATATTATTAATAAATCTTTGATTTGATTTCCATATGCATATCATATTTACCGTATCTCCACTTTGTGCTATTCTCGTACAATAGAATCTATTGAAAAGTCTAGAAAAGAAGAAAGTGGCAGCAATCGATAATCAGCCACATTGAATTGAATCTCGACACACAATTGAAGCCATAAAAATGTTTTCATTACTTGTTTATTTTGTTGTTTTGCGGCATAGAATCGAATAGAAATATTTTTCTTTTTCAGGGAGAGAAAAATAAAAATGCATTCAAATATTGTCACCAGCATGTCACAGACAAAAGCAATTATCCTTCAATGAACCGGAAGAGAATTTCAATGAATCAATGGGTGAATAGTATAGACGCCTAAGAGGAATGTGGTAAAAAATGCAAAATCAAAATACCAGAATTCATTAACACAAAATTGCTTCAGTTTTGAATATTATAATAAGTAACAAAATATTTTTTGATACCTACCTATAGTCGGGCATTTTTTGAATATTTTCAAAATCTACAAAAAATCGTGGATTTTTTAAAATATTCGTGGATTTTCAAACATTCATATAGACGTGGATTTTTTTATAAATAATTTTTAAGGTCTAAGGCGTGGATTTAAAAAATATATTTTTCAAGGCCTACCTATAGGCGTGGATTTTTTAAAAGTAATTTTTAAGACCTACATATAGGCGTGGATTTTTTAAAAGTAATTTTTAAGACCTACATATAGGCGTGGATTTTTTAAAAGTAATTTTTAAGACCTACTTATAGGCGTGGATTTTTTAAAAGTAATTTTTAAGACCTACATATAGGCGTGGATTTTTTAAAAGTAATTTTTAAGACCTACATATAGGCGTGGATTTTTTAACAGTAATTTTTAAGACCTACATATAGGCGTGGATTTTTTAAAAGGAATTTTTAAGACCTACATATAGGCGTGGATTTTTTAAAAGGAATTTTTAAGACCTACATATAGGCGTGGATTTTTTAAAAATATTTTTTAAGACCTAGGATTATAGGCGTGGATTTTTTAAAAGATTTTTTAAATATAGGCGTGGATTTTTTATTTTTAAGACCTACATATAGGCGTGGATTTTTTAAAAGGAATTTTTAAGACCTACATATAGGCGTGGATTTTTTAAAAGTAATTTTTAAGACCTACATATAGGCGTGGATTTTTTAAAAGGAATTTTTAAGACCTACATATAGGCGTGGATTTTTTAAAAGGAATTTTTAAGACCTACATATAGGCGTGGATTTTTTAAAAGTAATTTTTAAGACCTACATATAGGCGTGGATTTTTTAAAAGTAATTTTTAAGACCTACATATAGGCGTGGATTTTTTAAAAGTTTTTAATTTTTAAGACCTACATATAGGCGTGGATTTTTTAAAAGTAATTTTTAAGACCTACATATAGGCGTGGATTTTTTAAAAGGAATTTTTAAGACCTACATATAGGCGTGGATTTTTTAAAAGTAATTTTTAAGACCTACATATAGGCGTGGATTTTTTAAAAGGAATTTTTAAGACCTACATATAGGCGTGGATTTTTTAAAAGGAATTTTTAAGACCTACATATAGGCGTGGATTTTTTAAAAGTAATTTTTAAGACCTACATATAGGCGTGGATTTTTTAAAAGGAATTTTTAAGACCTACATATAGGCGTGGATTTTTTAAAAGGAATTTTTAAGACCTACATATAGGCGTGGATTTTTTAAAAGTAATTTTTAAGACCTACATATAGGCGTGGATTTTTTAAAAGGAATTTTTTTTTAAGGAATTTTTAAGACCTACATATAGGCGTGGATTTTTTAAAAGTAATTTTTAAGACCTACATATAGGCGTGGATTTTTTAAAAGGAATTTTTAAGACCTACATATAGGCGTGGATTTTTTAAAAGGAATTTTTAAGACCTACATATAGGCGTGGATTTTTTAAAAGTTTTTTAAGACCTACATATAGGCGTGGATTTTTTAAAAGGAATTTTTAAGATTTTTTAAAAGTAATTTTTAAGACCTACATATAGGCGTGGATTTTTTAAAAGGAATTTTTAAGACCTACGTGGATTTTTTATAAGGGCGTGGATTTTTTAAAAGTAATTTTTAAGACCTACATATAGGCGTGGATTTTTTAAAAGGAATTTTTAAGACCTACATATAGGCGTGGATTTTTTAAAAGGAATTTTTAAGACCTACATATAGGCGTGGATTTTTTAAAAGGAATTTTTAAGACCTACATATAGGCGTGGATTTTTTAAAAGGAATTTTTAAGACCTACATATACATCATAAGGCGTGGATTTTTATAAGAATATTTTTCATAGGCCATCCATCATAAGGCGTGGATTTTTAAAAGAATATTTTTCATAGGCCATCCATCATAAGGCGTGGATTTTTAAAAGAATATTTTTCATAGGCCATCCATCATAAGGCGTGGATTTTTAAAAGAATATTTTTCATAGGCCATCCATCATAAGGCGTGGATTTTTAAAAGAATATTTTTCATAGGCCATCCATCATAAGGCGTGGATTTTTAAAAGAATATTTTTCATAGGCCATCCATCATAAGGCGTGGATTTTTAAAAGAATATTTTTCATAGGCCATCCATCATAAGGCGTGGATTTTTAAAAGAATATTTTTCATAGGCCATCCATCATAAGGCGTGGATTTTTAAAAGAATATTTTTTATTACATCAATTGTTATGTGACGTTATAATTATTTCCCAGAATTCCTTTTGAGTTGTGATAAAACAATTTATAACATAAATCTCATTCAACAAAGTTAAAACCAGTATTTTGAGATAGCAAAGAAATATTGAATAAATCAATTAACAATCAGAAGTGACAGGAAAACAACAACACGAAGAAACACAAACCAGCCGCCAATCACTAAGAGCGACTCAAAATCGATTTATTTGAAATATATCCCACAACTGATTCGAATGAAACATGACTAACCAACCCCAAACCAAACAAATGATCTCAGTTTGAAATAAATCAAATCTTAATAGAAAAAAAACAACAAATATTGAATCTCTAAACATAAAAAATGATGATTAAAACCAAAACAGATTTGCATTCAAAACTAAATACAAAAAATGAAAAAAAAAAAAACAAAACAAATCCAAAACCTATTTTCTTGAATTGAATTTCAATGTGAAATTTTGCGATAATTTCAGTCGTATTGTGGCTATTGTTGAAAACGGTCGTGGTATTTTGAAAACCAAAACAAATTTTTAAAATGAAATTTCTAATAATTTTTTGTACCCTATGTACACTATCGATGGGTGTTTTGGGCCAATATAAAACCGGTATTAAGACACGTCAACCTCCACCACCCGCCCAACAAACGGAACAATTGAATTATAATCATCAATACCAGGCTGGAAGTGCTTATGAACGTTATAATGGCAATTACAAACCTGCGGAATATTATCAAGGTGAATCGTTGGTGGTGAAACCCACACCATCTCCCCAGCCTCAGATTTTGGATGCCACAGCTGAGTTTATTAATAAGACCCGGGCTGGTATTGCATCGGGTATATGTTTCAAAGAAGTACCGTAAGTTTTGAATTTTTTTGTTTTGTTCTGATTAATATTTAGAAAATATTGAATGTCAAGTGACCCAACGTGATCTGAATTTCTTAGAAATGCTGATAAAGTCGTGTGCGTTATTGTGTCATAGGGTGGTGGGGAAATATGTTTTTTTAAATAATGCTTTCAAACTTAGTGAAAAACAGTGACACAAACAAATATTATTTTAAAAATCCACGCCTTAGATAGCCCTTGAAAAAAATTATTTTAAGAATCCAAGCCTCAGATATCCCTTGAAAAAAATTATTTTAAAAATCCACGCCTTAGATAGCCTTTGAAAAAAATTATTTTAAAAATCCACGCCTTAGATAGCCCTTGAAAAAAATTATTTTAAAAATCCAGGCCTTAGATAGCCCTTGAAAAAAATTATTTTAAAAATCCAGGCCTTAGATAGCCCTTGAAAAAAATTATTTTAAAAATCCACGCCTTAGATAGCCCTTGAAAAAAATTATTTTAAAAATCGACGCCTTAGATAGCCCTCGAAAAAAATTATTTTAAAAATCCACGCCTTAGATAGCCCTTGAAAAAAATTATTTTAAAAATCCACGCCTTAGATAGCCCTTGAAAAAAATTATTTTAAAAATCCACGCCTTAGATAGCCCTTGAAAAAAAATATTTTAAAAATCCACGCCTTAGATAGCCCTTGAAAAAAATTATTTTAAAAATCCACGCCTTAGATAGCCCTTGAAAAAAATTATTTTAAAAATCCACGCCTTAGATAGCCCTTGAAAAAAATTATTTTAAAAATCCACGCCTTAGATAGCCCTTGAAAAAAATTATTTTAAAAATCCACGCCTTAGATAGCCCTTGAAAAAAATTATTTTAAAAATCCACGCCTTAGATAGCCCTTGAAAAAAATTATTTTAAAAATCCACGCCTTAGATAGCCCTTGAAAAAAATTATTTTAAAAATCCACGCCTTAGATAGCCCTTGAAAAAAATTATTTTAAAAATCCACGCCTTAGATAGCCCTTGAAAAAAATTATTTTAAAAATCCACGCCTTAGATAGCCCTTGAAAAAAATTATTTTAAAAATCCACGCCTTAGATAGCCCTTGAAAAAAATTATTTTAAAAATCCACGCCTTAGATAGCCCTTGAAAAAAATTATTTTAAAAATCCACGCCTTAGATAGCCCTTGAAAAAAATTATTTTAAAAATCCACGCCTTAGATAGCCCTTGAAAAAAATTATTTTAAAAATCCACGCCTTAGATAGCCCTTGAAAAAAATTATTTTAAAAATCCACGCCTTAGATAGCCCTTGAAAAAAATTATTTTAAAAATCCACGCCTTAGATAGCCCTTGAAAAAAATTATTTTAAAAATCCACGCCTTAGATAGCCCTTGAAAAAAATTATTTTAAAAATCCACGCCTTATATAGCCCTTGAAAAAAATATTTTAAAAATCCACGCCTTAGATAGCCCTTGAAAAAAAATATTTTAAAAATCCACGCCTTAGATAGCCCTTGAAAAAAATTATTTTAAAAATCCACGGTTGTTCCATAGCCCTTGAAAAAAATTATTTTAAAAATCCGTCGCCTTAGATAGCCCTTGAAAAAAATTATTTTAAAAATCCACGTTCCATAGCCCTTGAAAAAAATTATTTTAAAAATTTCCACGCCTTATAGCCCTTGAAAAAAATTATTTTAAAAATCCACGCCTTAGATAGCCCTTGAAAAAAAATATTTTAAAAATTCACGCCTTAGATAGCTCTTGAAGAAAAAGTTATTTTAAAAATGAACGCCTTATATAGCCCTTGAAAAAAAAATATTTTAAAAATCCACGCTTTAGATAGCCCTTGAAAAAAAAAATATTTTAAAAATCCACGCCACAGATAGCCCTTGAAAAAAATTATTTTAAAAATCCAAGCCTCAGAAAAAAATATTTTAAAAAGGCCACGTCACAGATAGCCCTTGAAAAAAAATTATTTTAAAAATCCCTTGAAAAAAATTATTTTAAAAGGGCCACGCCACAGATAGCCCTTGAAAAAAAATATTTTAAAAGGGCCACGCCACAGATAGCCCTTGAAAAAAATTATTTTAATAATCCAGGCTTTATGGTAGCCCCTGAAGACATTAAAAATCATTAAATTTATATTCATTTTTTGCTTCCCATTCTAGCACCTCCACCCTGGTCAAAAATGGTCAAGAGCCCGTCAGCAATGGCACATCGCCCGGCATGAGCACAATCCAAGTGTGCTGCGAAGGCTATGAGCGGAACCCTCATGTTTTCAAGAAATGTGATCCCATCTGTGAGGATGATTGTCCCAATGGTATTTGTGTGGCGCCCAATCAATGTGTCTGCATTCCTGGTCATGTACGCAACAGTGTGGGTAAATGTGTCACCACCTGCCCCATTGGCTGTGAAAACGGGGTGTGCACAGATGATGGACAGTGTCAGTGTAAATCGGGCTATACATTAGAACCGAAGCAGGGTAAATTTTGTGTACCCGCTTGTGAGAGTGAATGTAAATTCGGAAAATGCATTGGACCCAATCAGTGTGAATGTGAAAAGGGTTATCGTCTAACCGCTGTGGGTACCTGTGAACCGCAATGTGAGAATTGTCAGAATGGTAAATGTACCGCACCCGGATTGTGTAGCTGTCATACGGGATATACCAAGGTGGGAGATGTTTGTGAACCTGTGTGCTCGCTGTAAGTTCGAAGAAGAAAAATATTTCCTTTATTTGTCTTAATTTCTAAAAATATTTCCAGTGGCTGTGACAAAGGTTTCTGCATTGCCCCCGACACCTGTTCCTGTCCCGTCGGTTCCGAATTGGATCGTTCGGGCATTAAATGTAATCCTCGTTGTGATGTGCCATGTGTGAATGGTGTGTGTTCGGCACCCAATAAATGTGAATGTGAACCGGGTTATGTTCCGGATGAAAACCACTCGAATATGTGTGTCCCCCATTGTCCTCAAGGATGTCCCAACGGCTACTGTTCAGCACCTAATTTCTGTTCCTGTAATCCTGGCTTTATAAAGAGCGGTATTAAGGGACGTTACTATTGTAATCCGGCAAATTGAGTTTGAATTGTATTAAAAATTTCCTTGTAAAAATAAAAATGTATTAAAAAACCTACCCCTTATGGTAGCCCCTCGAAATTCTTATTTAAAAAATTTCTTGCCTTTAAAAAAATAATTGGAAAAAACCATGAAAAAAAAAAACAGTAAGGAAAGTAGTAAAGCGGAACGGGGCCGACTATATGAACCCTTAGAAGCAATTTTTAAACAATTTGTTGGCCGGACACTGTAGTTTTCAGCAATAAAATTTGTAAAGGGTCCCCCTTTATGGATTTTCAAAGAAATGTTTAAAGGGTCCTTATCCCTTATCGATTTGCTATGAAAATTTAGAAGCCATTTGTAAAGGGTCCCAATTTGTTGGCCGGACACTGTAGTTTTCAGCAATAGAATTTGTAAAGGGTCCCCCTTATGGATTTTCTAAGAAATTTGTAAAGGGCCCCCTTATGGATTTTCTAAGAAATTTGTAAAGGGTCCCCCCTTATCGATTTGCTATGAAAATTTAGAAGTAATTTGTAAAGGGTCCCAATTTGTTGGCCGGACATTGTAGTTTTCAGCAATAACATTTTAAAGGGCCCCCCTTATGGATTTTCTAAGAAATTTGTAAAGGGTCCCCCCTTATGGACTTTCTAAGAAATTTGTAAAGAGTCCCCCCTATGGATTTTCTAAGAAATGTTCAAAGGGTCCCCTTATCGATTTGCTATGAAAATTTAGAATAAATTTGTAAACGGTCCCAATTTGTTGGCCGGGCACTGTAGTTTTCAGCAATGGAATTTGTAAAGGCTCCCCCCTTATGGATTTTCTAAGAATTGTGTAAAGGATTTGCTATGAAAATTTAGAAGTAATTTGTAAGGGGTCCCAATTTGTTGGCCGGATATTGTAGTTTTCAGTAATAATATTTGTAAATCTGAACCGATTTCAATGAGACTTAGCAGAGATTAACTACAGTTCATTGTACAAAATTGTGTGGCAATCGGACACACAAGTGCACAATTTACATAAAATCGGAAGAAAATATATATGGGAGCTATATCTAAATGTGGACCGATTTTCAGGAAACTTAACACATATCATTCTAGACCTAATTAATTACGCTATGCCAAATTTCGTGCAAATCGAAAGATATATAGGGACTTTGGTGCCCCATTGACATTCAATCGGACGAAAATATATATCGGAGCTATATCTACATCTGAACCGATTTTCACGAAACTTAGCACACATCATTCTGGACCTAATTCAGTACTCTGTATCAAATTTCGTGCAAATCGAAAGATATATAGGGACATTGGTACATCATTTACATTTAATAGGAAATATATATCTGAGCTATATCTAAGTCTGAACCGATTTTCTCGAAACTTGGCACACATCATTCTAGATTTATATTAGTACTCTGTGCCAAATTTCGTGCAAATCGAAAGATATATAGAGACATTGTTGCACCATTTACCTTAAATCGGACGAAAATATATATGGGAGCTATATCTAAATCTGAACCGATTTTCACGGAACTTAGCGCATACCATTCTAGACTTAATTAAGTACGCTGTGCCAAATTTTGTGCAAATCGAATGATTATCAGGGGCGTTGGTGCATCATTTACCTAAAATCAGACGAAACTATATATGGGAGCTGTATCTAAATCTGAACCTATCTTTACGAAACTTAGCACACATCATTCCGGGTTTAATGCAGTGCGCTGTGTCAAATTTCGTGCAAATCGAAAGATATTTAGGGACTTTTGTGCTCCATTTACCTTAACTCGCACGAAAATATATATGGGAACTATATCTTAATCCGAATCGATTATTCCCAATTTCAGTAGGGTATGAGGGATGAGTTGTGGCAAATTTCATCCGATTCGGATTATAAAAGCAACCTGTACTTTGTTTACAAGTTAACATCAACAGACGGACGAACGACAGACGGACGGACGGACATGCATTACTCGACACAGAAAGTGATTCTATGCATATTCTAAAGGGAACCATGGGTCTATCTCGATTCCTTTTGCCTGTTACAAACATATGCACAAAGCCATAATACCCTGTACCACAGTGTGGTGAAGGGTATACAAATCCACGCCTTTTGTAGCCTTGGAAAAAAATATTTAAAAAATCCACGCTTGGAAAAAAATGTGTGTGGCTTGGAAAAAAATTATTTAAAAAAAATCCACGCTTATGGGTGGATTGGAAAACAATTATTTAAAAAAATCCACGCCTTATGGATAGCTTAGAAAAAAACATATTTAAAAAATCCACGCCTTATGGGTGGCTTGGAAAAAAAATTATTGAAAAAATCCACGCCTTATGGATGGCTTGGAAAAAAATTATTTAAAAATCCACGCCTTATGGGTTGCTTGGAAAACAATTATTTAAAAAATCCACGCCTTATGGTTGGCATGGAATCAATTATTTAAAAAGTCCATGCCTTATGGATGGCTTTGAAAAAAAAATGATTTAAAAAATCCATGCCTTATGGGCGGCTTGGGAAAAATAATTTTTAATATCCACGCCATATGGATGGCTTGGAAAAAATGATTTAAAAAATCTACACTTGACATCCCTATAAAGTGTTTCTCTTTTAATGAGAGCGCTCTCGTTGGTATTGAATTACTCTTAAATAAAATATATGTATTTTAAAAATATAAAAAAAATTAAGAAAACACAAGAACGCTGGTGAAAGAACGCATTAAACTGATAAGAATAGGGAACAAAAATAAAGAAACAAAAACAACGACAACACAAAAACAAAAAAATTTGTTATTTGAAACCTCTGAGTAAATCCAAACACTCGGAGCAGTCATAATTATTTAGACACTGCACAAGTTAGGTCTTGAAATTTTATTTAAAATTTCGCTTTTACTTTAATTTGTTGTTGGTTCGTCCGTAGTCGTTGTCGCCGTCGATCTTAATTGTACGATGTTATTCAATTTGAAATATTTTCTTTTGTTGTGTATAAGTTTTGGGGTGACAATGGGCCAATTTTGGAAAATGAACGCGCCTAGTGAACGTGAACTATTTATTATGGATGTGAGGAGTACCATGTCGGCGGGTATTTGCTATAAACAAGTGGAGTATGTTCGGATATCAAAAGGGATTTACATTTCCTAAAAATCAACTAACTTTTCCTTAACCTTCTTCCAGAGCCAAGGTAAATGATCCCGAAGTTCGCATGCGTACGGTGTCGTATTGCTGTCCGGGCTATAAACGTAATCGTCTGGTACGTCACGCTGTGAGATGTGATCCGATATGTAATAATGACTGCAATAATGGCATATGTGTGGCGCCCGATTACTGTGAATGCTATCCGGGTTACAAGCGTGAAAATGGCCGCTGCATTACCTTTTATTAATATCCCGACCCAAATGGACTGGCTAGGCTATGACATAAAAATAAGGCAATTAGGAAATAAAAAATATTTAATTATAAAAAACATTATTTTTGAAATATTATTTTCTTATTTTATTCCATGATGATAAGATGTGTGTGTTCCCCACTCCCCAAATATCAACAAAAATGAAACTATGTCATTGTTATTTTAATTTATGTGTGTGTCTGTCCGATTTTTCTTTAAATGCTCTCCATAATAAAAATACACAAAAAAATAATATGAGCCATGACATGGCCGGACCATAGGCGGAGATTGCATTGACAAAGTTCATGTGCGATAATAAGCTGATGTTAACATCGGCAACACATGGACAGGGGATATGAAATAAATTATTTATGCAGATGCCTAAAAGTATGCTATACATTATTTATAATATGGACAGTGAAACCTCAACAAAACCAACATTTTTCAGATTCTTTCATAGTCGTGGATTTTTTAAATAATTTTTTTCCAAGCCATCCATAAGGCGTGGATTTTTTAAATAATTTTTTTCCAAGCCATCCATAAGGCGTGGATTTTTTAAATAATTTTTTTCCAAGCCATCCATAAGGCGTGGATTTTTTAAATAATTTTTTTCCAAGCCATCCATAAGGCGTGGATTTTTTAAATAATTTTTTTCCAAGCCATCCATAAGGCGTGGATTTTTTAAATAATTTTTTTCCAAGCCATCCATAAGGCGTGGATTTTTTAAAAAAATTTTCCAAGCCATCCATAAGGCGTGGATTTTTTAAATAATTTTTTTCCAAGCCATCCATAAGGCGTGGATTTTTTAAAAAAAATTTCCAAGCCATCCATAAGGCGTGGATTTTTTAAATAATTTTTTTCCAAGCCATCCATAAGGCGTGGATTTTTTAAATAATTTTTTTCCAAGCCATCCATAACGCGTGGATTTTTTAAATAATTTTTTTCCAAGCCATCCATAAGGCGTGGATTTTTTAAATAATTTTTTTCCAAGCCATCCATAAGGCGTGGATTTTTTAAATAATTTTTTTCCAAGCCATCCATAAGGCGTGGATTTTTTAAATAATTTTTTTCCAAGCCATCCATAAGGCGTGGATTTTTTAAATAATTTTTTTCCAAGCCATCCATAAGGCGTAGATTTTTTAATTAATTTTTTTTTTTCTAAGCCACCCATAAGGCGTGGATTTTTTAATAATTTTTTTTCTACGCCACCCATAAGGCGTGGATTTTTTAAATAATTTTTTTCCAAGCCATCCATAAGGCGTGGATTTTTTAAATAATTTTTTTCCAAGCCATCCATAAGGCGTGGATTTTTTAAATAATTTTTTTCCAAGCCATCCATAAGGCGTGGATTTTTTAAATAATTTTTTTTCCAAGCCATCCATAAGGCGTGGATTTTTTAAATAATTTTTTTCCAAGCCATCCATAAGGCGTGGATTTTTCAAATAATTTTTTCAAATTTTTATTAAAAATAAAATCCGCCTATTTCATATCCGCAGTAAAATTAAAATATCTACCAATTAATAAATTAAATTCATCCAAAAAATCATCGTTTAATTTCTGATGATGCATTGTCGCATAGGTGGTAACCTTATCCGGTGAAAGACACTGATTGATGAAACGCGTTGTACCCGTCTGGCAGCGACAACGACCCTTCGACGTGCAATAACCTAATTCACATTTTTGATAGGATTTAAAGGGACCATCAGTGATGGAACAGCCACAAACTCCGGGTGCAATACATTTGCCATAATAACCACAGCCACTGAAAAAAGAATTCGAATTTATTATGGGTTTCTGTTGTATCCAAATCGAAGGGAGGTACCTACTGTTCACAAATCGCCTCACACTTGGGACCATTCCGCTTATAGCCATTAAAACAGCGGCAAATCCCCGGTGATATGCAAACACCATTTTCGCAGTCATCGCCACAGTCTGGGAGGCAGGAAGTGGTATTCTCATCATAGCGATAACCCTCCTGGCAAATGCACTTGGGACCACGCACCTGGAAGCCATTGTCGCAGCGTCTGTAGGAGACAAAGGAAAATGAGAGGGGATTAGAAAAAAAACTCAGTAATGTTTTTTTCTGTAGAAAAAAATTCCTCAGGTCCCCTGAGGACTCTTTTTTCTATAGAAAAAAATTCCTCAGGCCCCCTGAGGACTCTTTTTTCTATAGAAAAAAATTCCTCAGGCCCCCTGAGGACTCTTTTTTCTATAGAAAAAAATTCCTCAGGCCCCCTGAGGACTCTTTTTTCTATAGAAAAAAATTCCTCAGGCCCCCTGAGGACTCTTTTTTTATAGAAGAAATTTCCCCAAGTCCCCTGAGGACTCTTTTTTTATAGAAGAAATTCCCCCAAGCCCCCTGAGGACTCTTTTTTCTATAGGAAAAAATTCCTCAGGCCCCCTGAGGACTCTTTTTTTCTATAGAAAAAAATTCCTCAGGTCACATGAGGACTCTTTTTTCTATCGAAAAAAATCCTCAGGTCACATGAGGACTCTTTTTTCTATAGAAGAAATTTCCCCAAGCCCCCTGAGGACTCTTTTTTTATAGAAAAAATTCCTTAGTACCCTGAGGGCTCTTGTTTCTACAAAAAAAAAAAAAATAAAATAGAAAAAACACCTCAGGCCCTTTGAGAACTCCTCAGGTCCCGTCAGTACCCTAAGGACACTTCTGATTACTCCAAATAAATACTCACAAAAATCCCAAATATTCACACACCGTTCCGTTCGTCTTCTTCCCATAACCGGCAAAACATTCACATTGATTCGGCCCCGCACAATAACCAAACCCACAATCGGGAATACAAACTGGTTGGCATCCTATCTTGGCCAATTCATGATGTGGCGATCTCGAATAACCCTCCTCACATTGACACTTATTGGGCTCGACACAAACTTCATTCCTGCCGCAACCCATTTCGCAAATCGGCACACAATATTTCTTTGTCGGATCCAATTCATAGCCCGTATTGCAAACACACGTTCCATTTAGATAACATCGACCATTCGGACATCCCAAGGGGCAAGTGGGTACACAATCGTTGCGATGATTCAAAACAAATTCATCGAAGCACTGGCACACACCTCCATCCAGGCAGAAGCCATTTCTCAAACATTTATTGCCACAATCCGGTACACATTTGCTCCAGTCGAAATCGTAACGTTTATAGCCCGGACAGCAGACATCGATTTCATTGTAATTTGGATTGCCGGTACTGCTGTTGCCACGAATCGGTACATCTTTTTCGTATTGGAAAAATATGGCCCTGGAAATAAACAAACGAAAATATTTTACTCTCTCTGGTCCCCTCTCACTCCCTTCTCTCTCATGCACTCTCTTAAATCAAACTCCCACTTACGGCACTTCTTTTTTACATTTCGCCGGATTAAAGTCCTTGCGGGGCAATGACAGACCCGGTGATCTTATAAATGGTTGTTTTGTTGTTGTTGTCGTAGTGAATCGTAGATTTTCCGTTTGTATACAATTGAAAGTGGTGGCACATAGAAATACCAGCGATAAGACGATTTTCACCGATGTTGGTGAACTAATATCAAATATTCGACGATTCGTCATAGTTTTCACATGGATCCCGATTCCGTATCAATTGTGTATTTGTCTTCAGTGGGTAAGGTCCGCAGAGTAACTGAAGATAATCGCATTGAGTTTTTTTGGGAGAGATTCTCTGGAATGTTTTCATTTGCCTACTGATAAGACGTAGATTATGAGGAGAAGCATGAAATGAGAGGAGATTATCACTAGGTACCCTACAAAGAAGTTGGTATTTTAGATTCAATAATGAAAATATTACTCTGAGAAAGGTCTGAGGATTTTTTTCTATAGAAAAGAGTCCTCAGGAGGCCTGATGAATTTTTTTCCATACAAAAAGAGTCCTCAGGAGGCCTGATGAAGTTTTTTCTATAGGAAAAGAGTCCTCAGGAGGCCTGATGAAGTTTTTTCTATAGAAAAATAGTCCTCAGGAGGCCTGATGAAGTTTTTTCTATAGAAAAAGAGTCCTCAGGAGGCCTGATGAATTTTTTTCTATAGAAAAAGAGTCCTCAGGAGGTCTGATGAATTTTTTTCTATAGAAAAAGAGTCCTCAGGAGGCCTGAGGAATTTTTTTCTATAGAAAAAGAGTTTTCAGGAGGCCTGAGGATTTTTTTCTATAGAAAAAGAGTCCTCAGGAGGCCTGAGGAATTTTTTTCTATAGAAAAAGAGTCCTCAGGAGGCCTGAGGAATTTTTTTCTATAGAAAAAGAGTCCTCAGGAGGCCTGAGGAATTTTTTTCTATAGAAAAAGAGTCCTCAGGAGGCCTGAGGAATTTTTTTCTATAGAAAAAGAGTCCTCAGGAGGCCTGAGGAATTTTTTTCTATAGAAAAAGAGTCCTCAGGAGGCCTGAGGAATTTTTTTCTATAGAAAAAGAGTCCTCAGGAGGCCTGGGGAAAAATTCACGCCTTATGGATAGGCCCTAAAAATAACTTTCGAAAAATCCACGCCTTATGGATAGGCTCTAACCATAATTTCTAAAAAAATTAGCCCTAATTTTGTATAGAAAAAAGAATATTCCATGTGCCCGAGGAATTTTTCTATAGGACCTATCTAGACATACCTCCAAGTGTTTTTTATAAAAAATTATTTAGTTTTCAGATAATTGCTAATCAATTTATTAGACATGAATGAAAATACCCTGCATATGATCACTACACTTTTTTTTTAAATCACATAACATAACTGCATTTAAAGGTCAAGTTTAGAAATGCCGCTGATTAAAAAAGGGGTCCATATTTGATTAGCTAAGCAAAGTATCGATCAGTTTATTTGTAAATCTCACACAAAAAGCATAATCCCGAATTGTAAAAATGCAAAATTGCAAATTATTCTGCTTAGCCATATTCGTGAATACGATATTGGGAGATCGTCTATATAGCGACTACATCGATGATATCGATCAGAATGAGATACGTATCAAACCATACGATGAGGATTGGCGTCATCCGAATTTTCATCCACCCATGCGAAAGGCCACTAGAAAACCAAAAGTGTTCGCCTCAACAACAGAGGGTATGTGTGTGAGGAATTATCATAAGAGGAAGGCGGCAGAGGAACGTGAAAATCCCCAAAAGGAATATAAACCGAGTGGTAATCGTTGGCATGGTTCCGTGGTCTATGGCAGTGATCGTTTCAAACATAAACAGCACAGCAGTCGTAGTACTAAGGTGAGGGACATTTCACCAGTGGAGAGGAATTTACACAAATGTACGAAGTGGATAAGGTAAGGATATAAGGAAACCTTGCAAAAATATTTTTTATAAAATCCAAGCCTTGTGTTGGCCCTTGAAAAATATAGGCCAGGTCTTTAAAGAATCCAGGACTTTTTAATGCCACCTCTTGTGTAGTATAAGGTATTGACTTGTCGACCTTGCTGGTCACTTTAAATTCTTTTCGGCTCAACCCAAAAATCTCCAAAAATGCTCAGTACATAGATTTGTAAGTGGTGATAAGGCGGAACCAACCCAACATCAAGGGTCAAGAGCAGACAGAAACAACAACAACAATAAAAACCAAATAAACAAAATTTCAAAAATTTCTCCCAAAATAACAATTCCAAAACCAAGCCCAAAAACATGATTAGTCTATTTCATTTTACGCCGACCTAAACATTCGGAAATTTCAAATTCGGAAATTTTTCCCAAAAATGAAAAATATTTGCTTGGCCCTAGTAATTTTAAATTTTCATTGGACCCTTTCGGATCGTTTATATACCGGTCACATAGACGATATACCAACAACACCACTACTACCAAAGGGTCATCGTTATAAGCCTCTGCCCTCAATTCCGATTCCAATTGAACGCCAGCATCCCAACTTCCAGAGTGGTGCCTCAGTGCGAAAGCCAACCATAAAACCCAAACCATTTCTCCTAGAGGCCACGGAGAGTTCATGTGTGAAAAATGTTCGCAAAAAACAGGAAGAAGAAGATGCCGAAAATGCGGCCTCAAATTCACGGCCAAGTGGAAATCGTTGGCATGGCGCCATCACCTATGGGCGGGAACAATTTCAGCATCGGAAAACGAATCGGCGGGCAACGAAGTACAAGGACATAACACCGGTGGACAGGAAACAACATAAGTGCTTGAAATGGATAAGGTAAAAGGGGAGATCTTTTAAAAATTATTTTTCAAGGTCAACACAAGGCGTAGATTTTTTAAAAAATATTTTTCAAGGGTCACAGCAAGGCGTGGATTTTATAAAAATTATTTTTCAAGGGTCACAGCAAGGCGTGGATTTTATACAAATTATTTTTCTTTCCCCATTTTTTTCAGATCCGAGGACATCAAACGCTACGAATGGCCAGCCGTCATCAAAAAGAACGAGTTGGACAATACCGTGCTGATAGAAATTTGCTGTCCGCACTTTGGTCCGGTACGCCTTATGGGCAATACCCTATGTCAACCCTATTGCCATGCCTGCCATAATGGCAAATGTATTGCTCCCGAAGTGTGTCAATGTTACGATGGCTATGTGCTGAGTGATAATAAAGATTGTGTCTTCACCTGCCCCATATCTTGCCTGAATGGTCGCTGTAATCTACTGACCGGTAGCTGTTTATGCAACTCAGGTCATAAGCTCGATGAGACAGGACAATTTTGTCGTCCCATATGTCGTGCCGGCTGTGGGGCAAATCCTTTGCATAATTGTACGGCACCAGATGTGTGTGGATGTGTTAAGGGTTTTTCGTTGACCGACAACGATTGTCAACCCATTGCCGGGCGGGGGACATGGGGGAGGAGGTATTAAATAAGTATTTTGGAATTAAAATAAAAATAAATGGAAAAATAATTTTTTTATGATTTTTTTCTTTGGTCGTGCGTGGATTTTTAAAAGAATATTTTCGAGAGGCTAACATAAGGCCTGGATTTTTAAAAGAATATTTTCGAGAGGCCATCCATCATAAGGCGTGGATTTTTAAAAGAATATTTTCGAGAGGCTAACATAAGGCCTGGATTTTCAAAAGATTATTTTCGAGAGGCTACCATAAGGCGTGGATTTTTAAAAGAATATTTTCGAGAGGCTACCATAAAGCGTGGATTTTTAAAAGAATATTTTCGAGAGGCTACCATAAGGCCTGGATTTTTAAACGAATATTTTCGAGAGGCTACCATAAGGCGTGGATTTTTAAAAGAATATTTTCGAGAGGCTACCATAAGGCGTGGATTTTTAAAAGAATATTTTCGAGAGGCTACCATAAGGCGTGGATTTTTAAAAGAATATTTTCGAGAGGCTAACATAAGGCGTGGATTTTTAAAAGAATATTTTCGAGAGGCTAACATAAGGCGTGGATTTTTAAAAGAATATTTTCGAGAGGCTAACATAAGGCGTGGATTTTTAAAAGAATATTTTCGAGAGGCTACCATAAGGCGTGGATTTTTAAAACAATATTTTTATTTTTTTATTGCCTAAAATATAATTCTATATTATTGTGGTATACAATTTCTGGTCCTTTCATGATACACAAAGCCCGGCTTACATATACAGCGATTTCGATTGTAGCATATACCATTGGCACAGGACCTGCAAAAAGATTATTTTAAATATTTTTTCTTTTTTGGAACATTGGCATCTTCAACTTACTGATAACAATCCGATTGACACACCCCATCCTGCAGCCTATACCCAGGACTACAGACACACATACGTGTCAAGCCAAAAGCCTGGCACTCACCACCCGGCCCACATTCTGGATCACACACCGGTTTACAACCGCCATCTGTCAATGTGAAACCCTCAATGCATCCGCATACCTCAGGTGCGGTACAATTATGCAAGGGATCACTGCCACAACCTTTACTGCAAATCGGACGACAATATTGTCGCGTCTCATCCAGCTTATAACCCGGATCACATTCACAGCTATTATCCAGATAACAGCGACCATTTAGGCAACCCAGCGGACAAATGAAAACACAATCTCCACTATCATTCCGGACATATTCATCATAACATTCACACACATTGGGCGCCACACATTGGCCATTGCGACATTTTTCACACACCGGAATGCAGCGGCGTTCACCACGCCATCGCAGCAGACCATAGCCAGGGCAACAGACCTTAATCGGGGTTACACGTTGGGATTTGTCTTCCGTCATTTTGATTACCCACGAATATTTGTCCACAGCTTCGGTACTGAAAAACAAAAAAATATTTTAATAATAGAAAATTGGGTCCCCATATCCACCCCCTACTTACGGAACATATATCAACTGCATATGATCACCATGTGTGCCACATTCCTCTTTGGCCACCGGCGGATCAATGGGACTGCCATCACGCCATCGATTATCGGTGGGCAGCATATACAGGGCACGCCGTTCCAATCTCTCAAATGTGTATGGCTCCTGATCGTCGAGATCATCAGCCTCATTGTAATCGTAACCCTCCGTAGGTTCTTCCTGATACCTACGTAGATATGTGGCTTCAAATTCAGTTTCCTCCATCATCATCAGGGAGGTAATACTACCAAATTGTTGTAGGAGGAGGATATAGAGAATTCCTCTTAAAATATTGACCAAATTAAACATGTTGTAATGTGAAAATAAAAAATTCTGAAATTATCTTCATTAGCCCCGGGCTTGTTTTCATTAGAATAGTTTATTGAAAACTGAAGCAAAACAAATTTTGCATAATATTCTAAGAATCCGAGAGAGATCTCAGCTTGGAGACTACTCAACAGCAAAAAATTGATAAGATTTCAATTGTTGTGATTACAACTGTTTTTATTCTTTTTGTTGTTGTGTATTTTGTTTTCAATATTTTGTTTTTTTAAGTCAGAATTTAAATGAAATAAGACAGGGTGAACCTAAAAAATTAAAACAGTATAAAATATTCTTTTAAAAATCCACGCCTTATGATGGCCTCTGAAAAATATTCTTTTAAAAATCCACGCCTTATGATGGCCTCTGAAAAATATTCTTTTAAAAATTCACGCCTTATGATGGCCTCTGAAAAATATTCTTTTAAAAATCCACGCCTTATGATGGCCTCTGAAAAATATTCTTTTAAAAATCCACGCCTTATGATGGCCTCTGAAAAATATTCTTTTAAAAATCCACGCCTTATGATGGCCTCTGAAAAATATTCTTTTAAAAATCCACGCCTTATGATGGCCTCTGAAAAATATTCTTTTAAAAATCCACGCCTTATGATGGCCTCTGAAAAATATTCTTTTAAAAATCCACGCCTTATGATGGCCTCTGAAAAATATTCTTTTAAAAATCCACGCCTTATGATGGCCTCTGAAAAATATTCTTTTAAAAATCCACGCCTTATGATGGCCTCTGAAAAATATTCTTTTAAAAATCCACGCCTTATGATGGCCTCTGAAAAATATTCTTTTAAAAATCCACGCCTTATGATGGCCTCTGAAAAATATTCTTTTAAAAATCCACGCCTTATGATGGCCTCTGAAAAATATTCTTTTAAAAATCCACGCCTTATGATGGCCTCTGAAAAATATTCTTTTAAAAATCCACGCCTTATGATGGCCTCTGAAAAATATTCTTTTAAAAATCCACGCCTTATGATGGCCTCTGAAAAATATTCTTTTAAAAATCCACGCCTTATGATGGCCTCTGAAAAATATTCTTTTAAAAATCCACGCCTTATGATGGCCTCTGAAAAATATTCTTTTAAAAATCCACGCCTTATGATGGCCTCTGAAAAATATTCTTTTAAAAATCCACGCCTTATGATGGCCTCTGAAAAATATTCTTTTAAAAATCCACGCCTTATGATGGCCTCTGAAAAATATTCTTTTAAAAATCCACGCCTTATGATGGCCTCTGAAAAATATTCTTTTAAAAATCCACGCCTTATGATGGCCTCTGAAAAATATTCTTTTAAAAATCCACGCCTTATGATGGCCTCTGAAAAGTATTCTTTTAAAAATCCACGCCTTATGATGGCCTCTGAAAAATATTCTTTTAAAAATCCACGCCTTATGATGGCCTCTGAAAAATATTCTTTTAAAAATCCACGCCTTATGATGGCCTCTGAAAAATATTCTTTTAAAAATCCACGCCTTATGATGGCCTCTGAAAAATATTCTTTTAAAAATCCACGCCTTATGATGGCCTCTGAAAAATATTCTTTTAAAAATCCACGCCTTATGATGGCCTCTGAAAAATATTCTTTTAAAAATCCACGCCTTATGATGGCCTCTGAAAAATATTCTTTTAAAAATCCACGCCTTATGATGGCCTCTGAAAAATATTCTTTTAAAAATCCACGCCTTATGATGGCCTCTGAAAAATATTCTTTTAAAAATCCACGCCTTATGATGGCCTCTGAAAAATATTCTTTTAAAAATCCACGCCTTATGATGGCCTCTGAAAAATATTCTTTTAAAAATCCACGCCTTATGATGGCCTCTGAAAAATATTCTTTTAAAAATCCACGCCTTATGATGGCCTCTGAAAAATATTCTTTAAAAAATCCACGCCTTATGATGGCCTCTGAAAAATATTCTTTTAAAAATCCACGCCTTATGATGGCCTCTGAAAAATATTCTTTTAAAAATCCACGCCTTATGATGGCCTCTGAAAAATATTCTTTTAAAAATCCACGCCTTATGATGGCCTCTGAAAAATATTCTTTTAAAAATCCACGCCTTATGATGGCCTCTGAAAAATATTCTTTTAAAAATCCACGCCTTATGATGGCCTCTGAAAAATATTCTTTTAAAAATCCACGCCTTATGATGGCCTCTGAAAAATATTCTTTTAAAAATCCACGCCTTATGATGGCCTCTGAAAAATATTCTTTTAAAAATCCACGCCTTATGATGGCCTCTGAAAAATATTCTTTTAAAAATCCACGCCTTATGGTAGCCTCTCGAAAATATTCCTTTAAAAATCCACGCCTTATGGTAGCCTCTCGAAAATATTCTTTTAAAAATCCACGCCTTATGATGGCCTCTGAAAAATATTCCTTTAAAAATCCACGCCTTATGGTAGCCTCTCGAAAATATTCCTTTAAAAATCCACGCCTTATGGAAGCCTCTCGAAAATATTCCTTTAAAAATCCACGCCTTATGGTAGCCTCTCGAAAATATTCCTTTAAAAATCCACGCCTTATGGTAGCCTCTCGAAAATATTCCTTTAAAAATCCACGCCTTATGGTAGCCTCAAAAAATATTCCTTTAAAAATCCACGCCTTATGGTAGCCTCAAAAAATATTCCTTTAAAAATCCACGCCTTATGGTAGCCTCAAAAAATATTCCTTTAAAAATCCACGCCTTATGGTAGCCTCTCGAAAATATTCCTTTAAAAATCCACGCCTTATGGTAGCCTCTCGAAAATATTCCTTTAAAAATCCACGCCTTATGATGGCCTCTGAAAATTTTTCTTTTAAAAATCCACGCCTTATGATAGCCTCTGAAATTTTTTCTTTTAAAAATCTACGCCTTATGTTGGCCCCTAAAAAATATTCTTTAAAAATTCCACGCCTCTTTTGAGGCCCTGAAAAATATTCTTTTAAAATCCAAGCCTCATTTTTATTAATTTTTATTTCAATGTTTAACGACCTTATAACTAATTTATTTTCTCCGGTTTGGCTATACAATTCCCCGTGCTCTCCATGTAAATAAATCCCGGATTGCATATGCAGCGGTGACGGCTATAGCACATGCCATTTTCGCAGGGCCTACAAAAAGTAAAGAAATTCAAATTATTATTTAAAGAACCCCCTCCTCTTCCCCTCCCCCTCTACTTACTGATAACACACAGCATGACAAACACCATCCTTCAGCGTATAGCCCGCCTTACATTCACACATCCCAAATGCATTACACTCTCCTCCCGGACCACATTCGGGATCACACACAGCCTTACATCCGGCATCGGTGAGAATATAACCATTGATACAACCACATACCTCAGGAGCAGTACAATTCAGCAATGGGTTTGTACCACAACCTTTACTACAAATTGGACGACAAAATCTTCGAGTTTCATCGAGCTTATATCCAGGATCACATTTACAGCTACCATCCAAATAGCAACGACCATTAAGACAACCCAGAGGACAACTGAAAACACAATCGCCATTGTCATTGCGTACAAACCCATCGTAACAATCACACAAATTCGGTCCAACACATTGTCCATTGCGACAATTCTCACAGACCGGTACGCACAGATCCCGTTGCCAATTATGGACGATGGCATAGCCGGGACAGCAGAGGCTGATGGTGGTGTGGCGGCCTTTCTTTTCTAGAATTTTGATGTAGGTGTATTTGTGAAGGGATTCGTTTCTGAAATGAAAAAAAAAATATTTTTAAAAAATAAACACCTTGATGTAGGCTTTTGAACATATTTTTAAAAAATCCTCTCCTATACCTCGGCTCTATTCTGTGCCTTGCTTTTGTATTCATAATCCGAATTACATCATTTCATTTACTTACAGTATTGTAATGGTGTACATATGTGTTTGATTTCCTCCCTCCGAATAACATTCACCCGCTCCATGCATCATTTCACCACGCCGTTGAATATTTCCCACAATTGAATTCTGCGCTATGTTCGGAACATATCTGCCCGCTGCCATACCCGGTTCCTGTTGATATTGATTTCTCGAATTGGGAACATAACTCTGTTGATTCGTATAGGTGGAACGTTTTTGATCATAGGCTTTAGCCTCTGCGGTTTGGAAAATATAACTGAACTGTTGGGCCAATAGGGTCACAATTAGTCCCGCGACAACACAATTAAAAAATCGGGACATGTTTTTCTTTATCCGTTAGAAAATTACTAGCCTATATTAACGTTTTGTTTAAAACTAATTTTTATTTTTGTTTTCGATACGATTTACAAATCTGTTTTATGAAAAATGCTGCTGTAATTATTTCCTGAACTTCCGATTTGTCTAGACCGTTTGTATGGAATACAAATACTATTCTCTATGCCTCCGCCAGCAACTGATAACAGAAATTGTTTTGATAAACAACTTGAGATTTGTTTATTGAGAGGGGAAAAAATAAACGGGCATTGATTTTGACATTAACATTGAATTGTCAAAAGTGAAGGTATGTCCGGATTTCGATTGGATTCACAAATAAACAACCTTATCGGTTTAAATTAAAATCACAGGGCGATTCAATAAACACAATAATTTTTAAAAAATCCACGCCTTGTGTTAGGACCCTAAAAATAATTTTTAAAAAATCCACGCCTTGTGTTAGGACCCTAAAAATAATTTTTAAAAAATCCACGCCTTGTGTTAGGACCCTAAAAATAATTTTTAAAAAATCCACGCCTTGTGTTAGGACCCTAAAAATAATTTTTAAAAAATCCACGCCTTGTGTTAGGACCCTAAAAATAATTTTTAAAAAATCCACGCCTTGTGTTAGGACCCTAAAAATAATTTTTAAAAAATCCACGCCTTGTGTTAGGACCCTAAAAATAATTTTTAAAAAATCCACGCCTTGTGTTAGGACCCTAAAAATAATTTTTAAAAAATCCACGCCTTGTGTTAGGACCCTAAAAATAATTTTTAAAAAATCCACGCCTTGTGTTAGGACCCTAAAAATAATTTTTAAAAAATCCACGCCTTGTGTTAGGACCCTAAAAATAATTTTTAAAAAATCCACGCCTTGTGTTAGGACCCTAAAAATAATTTTTAAAAAATCCACGCCTTGTGTTAGGACCCTAAAAATAATTTTTAAAAAATCCACGCCTTGTGTTAGGACCCTAAAAATAATTTTTAAAAAATCCACGCCTTGTGTTAGGACCCTAAAAATAATTTTTAAAAAATCCACGCCTTGTGTTAGGACCCTAAAAATAATTTTTAAAAAATCCACGCCTTGTGTTAGGACCCTAAAAATAATTTTTAAAAAATCCACGCCTTGTGTTAGGACCCTAAAAATAATTTTTAAAAAATCCACGCCTTGTGTTAGGACCCTAAAAATAATTTTTAAAAAATCCACGCCTTGTGTTAGGACCCTAAAAATAATTTTTAAAAAATCCACGCCTTGTGTTAGGACCCTAAAAATAATTTTTAAAAAATCCACGCCTTGTGTTAGGACCCTAAAAATAATTTTTAAAAAATCCACGCCTTGTGTTAGGACCCTAAAAATAATTTTTAAAAAATCCACGCCTTGTGTTAGGACCCTAAAAATAATTTTTAAAAAATCCACGCCTTGTGTTAGGACCCTAAAAATAATTTTTAAAAAATCCACGCCTTGTGTTAGGACCCTAAAAATAATTTTTAAAAAATCCACGCCTTGTGTTAGGACCCTAAAAATAATTTTTAAAAAATCCACGCCTTGTGTTAGGACCCTAAAAATAATTTTTAAAAAATCCACGCCTTGTGTTAGGACCCTAAAAATAATTTTTAAAAAATCCACGCCTTGTGTTAGGACCCTAAAAATAATTTTTAAAAAATCCACGCCTTGTGTTAGGACCCTAAAAATAATTTTTAAAAAATCCACGCCTTGTGTTAGGACCCTAAAAATAATTTTTAAAAAATCCACGCCTTGTGTTAGGACCCTAAAAATAATTTTTAAAAAATCCACGCCTTGTGTTAGGACCCTAAAAATAATTTTTAAAAAATCCACGCCTTGTGTTAGGACCCTAAAAATAATTTTTAAAAAATCCACGCCTTGTGTTAGGACCCTAAAAATAATTTTTAAAAAATCCACGCCTTGTGTTAGGACCCTAAAAATAATTTTTAAAAAATCCACGCCTTGTGTTAGGACCCTAAAAATAATTTTTAAAAAATCCACGCCTTGTGTTAGGACCCTAAAAATAATTTTTAAAAAATCCACGCCTTGTGTTAGGACCCTAAAAATAATTTTTAAAAAATCCACGCCTTGTGTTAGGACCCTAAAAATAATTTTTAAAAAATCCACGCCTTGTGTTAGGACCCTAAAAATAATTTTTAAAAAATCCACGCCTTGTGTTAGGACCCTAAAAATAATTTTTAAAAAATCCACGCCTTGTGTTAGGACCCTAAAAATAATTTTTAAAAAATCCACGCCTTGTGTTAGGACCCTAAAAATAATTTTTAAAAAATCCACGCCTTGTGTTAGGACCCTAAAAATAATTTTTAAAAAATCCACGCCTTGTGTTAGGACCCTAAAAATAATTTTTAAAAAATCCACGGCTTGTGTTAGGACCCTAAAAATAATTTTTAAAAAATCCACGCCTTGTGTTAGGACCCTAAAAATAATTTTTAAAAAATCCACGCCTTGTGTTAGGACCCTAAAAATAATTTTTAAAAAATCCACGGCTTGTGTTAGGACCCTAAAAATAATTTTTAAAAAATCCACGCCTTGTGTTGATGGATGGACCTTAAAAATAATTTTTAAAAAATCCACGCCTTGTGTTGATGGATGGACCTTAAAAATAATTATTAAAAAATCCACGCCTTGTGTTGATGGAATGACCTTAAAAATAATTTTTAAAAAATCCACGCCTTGTGTTGATGGATGGACCTTAAAAATAATTTTTAAAAAATCCACGCCTTGTGTTGATGGATGGACCTTAAAAATAATTTTTAAAAAATCCACGCCTTGTGTTGATGGATGGACCTTAAAAATAATTTTTAAAAAATCCACGCCTTGTGTTGATGGATGGACCTTAAAAATAATTTTTAAAAAATCCACGCCTTGTGTTGATGGATGGACCTTAAAAATAATTTTTAAAAAATCCACGCCTTGTGTTGATGGATGGACCTTAAAAATAATTTTTAAAAAATCCACGCCTTGTGTTGATGGATGGACCTTAAAAATAATTTTTAAAAAATCCACGCCTTGTGTTGATGGATGGACCTTAAAAATAATTTTTAAAAAATCCAGGCCTTGTGTTGATGGCCCTTAAAAATAATTTTTAAAAAATCCACGCCTTGTGTTGATGGCCCTTAAAAATAATTTTTAAAAAATCCACGCTTTGTGTGTATGGACCTTAAAAAATAATTTTGAAAAAATCCACGCCTTGTGAGTATGGACCTTAAAAAATAATTTTGAAAAAATCCACGCCTTGTGTGTATGGACCTTAAAAAATAATTTTGAAAAAATCCACGCCTTGTGTGTATGGAGCTTAAAAAATAATTTTGAAAAAATCCACGCCTTGTGTGTATGGAGCTTAAAAAATAATTTTGAAAAAATCCACGCCTTGTGTGTATGGAGCTTAAAAAATAATTTTGAAAAAATCCACGCCTTGTGGAGGAGGACCCCTAGAAAAAATTATTGAAAAAATCCACGCCTTGTGTGTATGGAGCTTAAAAAATAATTTTGAAAAAATCCACGCCTTGTGTGTATGGAGCTTAAAAAATAATTTTGAAAAAATCCACGCCTTGTGTGTATGGAGCTTAAAAAATAATTTTGAAAAAATCCACGCCTTGTGTGTATGGAGCTTAAAAATAATTTTTAAAAAATCCACGCCTTGTGTTGATGGATGGACCTTAAAAATAATTTTTAAAAAATACACGCCTTGTGTTAGGACCCTAAAAATAATTTTTAAAAAATCCACGCCTTGTGTTAGGACCCTAAAAATAATTTTTAAAAAATCCACGCCTTGTGTTAGGACCCTAAAAATAATTTTTAAAAAATCCACGCCTTGTGTTAGGACCCTAAAAATAATTTTTTAAAAATCCTCGCCTTGTGTTAGGACCCTAAAAATAATTTTTAAGAAATCCACGCCTTGTGTTAGGACCCTAAAAATAATTTTTAAAAAATCCACGCCTTGTGTTGATGGATGGACCTTAAAAATAATTTTTAAAAAATCCACGCCTTGTGTTAGGACCTTAAAAATAATTTTTAAAAAATCCACGCCTTGTGTTAGGACCTTAAAAATAATTTTTAAAAAATCCACGCCTTGTGTTAGGACCTTAAAAATAATTTTTAAAAAATCCATGCCTTGTGTTAGGACCCTAAAATTAATTTTTAAAAAATCCACGGCTTGTATGTAGGGACCTTAAAAAATAATTTTTAAAAAATCCACGCCTTGTATGTAGGGGCCTTAAAAAATAATTTTTATAAAATCCACGCCTTGTGTTAGGACCCTAACAATAATTTGTAAAAAATCCACGCCTTGTATTAGGACCCTAAAAATAATTTTTAAAAAATCCACGCCTTGTATTAGGACCCTAAAATTAATTTTTAAAAAATCCACGCCTTGTGTTAGGACCCTAAAAATAATTTTTAAAAAATTCACGCCTTGTGTTAGGACCTTAAAAATAATTTTTAAAAAATCCACGCCTTGTCTAAGTTAGAAAAAAAATAATTCTGTTAAATTTGATTTTTATAAAAAATTTTTATTAGGTATAATTAGAATATATATAATTTCCCTTTTTCCTGACAGCCCGTCATTTATAGTTCATATTCCACCAGGGGATCTGAAAAATAAAAAAAAAATATTTTTTCTTAATTTTAAATTTTTTCTCAAGCCCTTCTCTTACCCTCATGGTTACAGTACTTCCTATAGACCACAAATACCACGGCCACTAAACCGCATATCCCTATAACGGAGGCTAAAATGATCCATAGCATTTGTCCCGCTGTTGGATCCTGATGATCGCCAATAATTTGCATTTCATTGGAATGCCCATCTGGGGTGGTTCCAGAAGTGATCGTTGAAATTGTAGTTGTAGTCGTGGAACCTAGAGGTAGAATTCGCGGTATCTTACACATATACAATTGGGGCTCCTCTTCCAAATCTTCCTCATCGATGTGACACAATAGCTGGGTTCGTACCTCATCACAATGACAGAGACTTAAATTTAGACATGGCTTATCATAGGGATCCATGCAGAGATGGACACATTGCGGATTCGTATGGAATGTACCAAATTCATCATATTCCTGCCAACATTGGCAGTGAGCCACACAATTTTCTAGCAGTGGGATGGGGGTACTTTCTGACACTTTGGGGGTTGTCAAAGGGAGAGTGGTGGTGGAGGATTCTCCTGGGGTGAATGATGCCCATGTTATCATGTGATCCTTGTCATTGATTGTTGTTGCTGTACTTGTTGTTGTCATTGCTTTTTGACAATAACTATGATTGTAGGCCCCCTCTCCTATTTCCAGGGGTTCATAATTTTCATGACATATACAAATATTCGGCTCCACACACACACCATTATGACACTCCGGCTCACATACTGGTTCACAAATATTCACCGACCCCCCTTGGAACCGGTAACCCTCAGAGCACTGGCAAATTTCCGGTTCAACACAGGTACCATTTTGACAAGCCATCGAGCAAGTGGGTTCACAGTTCTGATTGGGTCCCATTAAATAACCCGCCTTACAAATACACACCTCCGGTCTATAGCAGAGGCCATTGAGACAGCCGCCCGTACATTGGGGTTTACATTGTTCCACTTCATCCATGGCATAACCCTCCAGACATTCACATTTATTCGGCTGTGCACATCGAGCAAATGCCGAACAATTTGGCTGACATAGGGGCTCACAGAAAAATTCATAGATCGATGTATTTTTCGGTTGATAGCCATTGAAACATTGACACATATTCGGTTCGCTGCAATGGGAATTTTCGGGGCAGGGTTTTTCACACACAGGCTCACAGTGGTGATCCACCATTTCATAACCTCTCAAGCACGAACAGACATTACCTTCCTCGCATTTTGAATTTTCCGGACAAGGGGGATCACATACCGGTTCACACCGCCCATTTGCGGTGAGATTATATCCCTGGCTGCATTCACATTGATTGGGTTTTGAACAGAAACCATTTTCAGGACATCCGTCCTCACACTGTGGCACACATTCCAATACACCTTCTTCAACTTTACCCAGCTCATAGCCCTCTAAACATTCACATTGATTGGGTTTCTTACAGAAGGCATTCTCCAAACAGGCTGGCGAACACACAGCTTCACATTTACCCTCCGAGTTCATCGAATAACCGTCCTTACACACACATTCATTGGGCCGTTCGCAATAGGAATTCTCAGGACATTGTGGCAAACATTTGGCTTGACACTTCAATGTGGCATTATCGACTTCCAGATCACTGCCCACGTTCGTATATCCCTCGGAACATGAACATTGATTCGGCTGCACACACTTAGCATTTGGCGGACACGATGGAACACACACTGCCACACATTTGCCATTAACCATTTCATATCCTTTCGTACAGCTACAAACATTGGGAGCAGAACATTGGGAATTTTCTGGGCATCCATCATAACAGAGGGGTCTGCAATTCACCCGCAATGGCTGGGAGGTGAAACTGACATAACCACTGGAACATTCACACCTGTCGGGACCAGCACAATGGGAATTTGTGGGGCAGGATGGTCGGCAATCCGGTACACACTGAGAATCGATTTTTTTATAGCCACGGCAGCAGACATATACAGTCTCGTAATCGGTATAGTACTGAAAAAATACAATTAATTAAAAAAATTTTTAAATAAATAAAAAATTTAAATTTAATTTTTTAAAATTTTTTTTAAATTTCTTATTATTTAGACAAAGCGTGAATTTTTTTAAAAATATTTTTTATTAATTAGGAGATGATAGATACCAAGCAACGGTACTGATTGGCTTTAACATGGCGAAGTCCAGGCTTATCTTGGTACCTCTTTCATCTCACTTGTGGACACTGACCTCCCGCGGTGTCACCTGGGGAGCTATTCTCATCACCCGATGATATAGTGAGCTAATATGTGCCGGGAGTTCACCCATAAGAACTATAAAAAATGGGTTGAGGCGTCGGGTTAGTTGCCCACACTTGGAAAACCCAACCTACTATGAAAAAGCAAAGAAAAAGAAAACCAAACCTACCTAATGTTGACGACCCCCACAAACGTATAAAGGACCAAGATCTGCGAATCTGCACTTGGAATGTGCGCACGTTGTACAGAACAGGCGGATGTACTCAAGAAGTACAAAGCCGATATTATTGTCTTACAGGAAATGCGATGGAAAGGGACAGGCGTAAGTAAATCAGACGACTAGCTGCCATGAAACGAGACACGAATTTGGCTGCGGATTTATGTTAACAGGAGAACAAAATACCTTGACTCCTGATTCACTCCGGTAGATGAGCGAATTGCTATAATCCGCATAAAAGCGAAGTTCTTCTACATCAGTCTTATTTGCGTCCATGCTCCGACCGCAGACAAAGATGAGCAGACCAGACATATTTTAGGAGCGCATAGAAACAGCATATGATCGCTGCCCTGGCTATGACAATAAAATTCTGCTAGAAGATTTTAATGCAAAAATCGGAAGGGAAATTATCTTTGGTCCCACTGTCGGAAAATTCAGCCTTCATGAAGAAACACCCGACAGCGGCATGATGTTGATTGACTTCGCGGCAGCAAAAAACATGATAATTAGCAGCAACAGATTCAAACCTCTCGATATACACAAGGACACCTGGATTTCTCCTGATCCATGGTACGATCGGGAGTAACGCTACTGATCTGAAAAACGCAGAGCATAGGGCCACCCTGCAGACAGTAGCAACACGTAATGTGATGGAGAATTATCGGGAGAAAAGGAGAGAGGAGAAACGTAATTTCAGAAAAAATAACAAGAAAAACGTAAGCGTGGAGAAGTCGAGATGAAAGTGGTCAGAATGAAGTCCGAAAATTTTACCAACGAGTAAAACATCAAACCGAAGGTTTTGGTGCAGGCACATCCTCCTGTAGAGATGAAGAAGGAAACCTGGTGACAGATACAGACAGCGTCTTGAGGATCTGGAAGGAGATTTTTGAAAAGATTCTGTTATCAAATAGCGCAGCGAAGAAGATACCCCAGAACCAATAAGATATGATGTTATAGAGTGTATACCACCTAGCCAAGATGAGGTCAGAATAGCAATCAATCGGCTGAAGAATAATAAAGCAGCAGGTACCTATGGGTTACATGCCGAACTATCAAGATTGATAGTCAGATGCTGGTAAGGAGCATGCATCAGCTGATTAGAACAATTTGGCTAGATAAATGCATGCCCAATTATTAGAACCTCAGCATCCTGTGTCCCGTGCACAAAAAAGGAGACAAAACGATATGTGCCAACTATAAGGGAATTAGCCTTCTTCCCATCGCATATAAAGTGCTATCCAGCGTGCTGTGTGAACGATTGAAGCCAATGGTCAATGACATCATTGGACCATACCAATGCGGCTTCAGGCCTGACAAATCAACTATTAATCAGATTTTCACTCAGCGCCAAAGCCTGAAAAAAAGCCACGAAAAACACAACGACACATACCACCTATTCGTCGACTATAAAGCCGCATTCGACTGCCCTATCCGTTCAGAGGTGTTTAAAGCCATGTCTACGTTCGGTATTCCTGCAAAATTAATACGGCTATGCAGGATAACTTTAAGTGGCACAAGGTCAGCAGTTAAAGTCGGAAAGGATCTATCGGATCCCTTCAATACCGCACGGGGATTCAGACAAGGTGACAGTTTGTTGTGTGATCTTTTTAACATCTTGCTGGAAAATATCATACGATACGAAAAGGTGAACAGAAATGTCACTCTGTACACCAAACAACACATGTTACTCGCCTACGCCGATGACATCGATATAATGGGTGGAACATTGCGTGGAACCTTTGAACAAATTGAGAAGGAGTCTGCCAAAGTGGGTCTGACAGTAAATGGCGAGAAGACCAAGCTGATGGTATCAACGCGCAAGACGTCCAGTAGACTCGGACCAATTATGGAACTTGAGAACTACAGGTTCGAGGTAGTTAAAGATTGTATATACCTTGGCACCGCAATAAATAAAACGAATGACATCAATTTTGAAATTCGGAGAAGGATTGTGATGGCCAAAAGATGCTACTATGGTCTAAGTAAGCAGTTTAGAAAACAAGACCACCTACCGCCAGACAAAACTCACACTTTACAAGACGCTGATACTACTTGTGCTATTATATGGGTCAGCAGCATGGGTACTTGCGAAAGCAGATGAGGCAGCTCTTCGGATGTTTCAAAGATTTTTTAATTAAAAATTAATTTTATTTTAATTAGACAAGGCGTCAATTTTTTAAAAATTTGTTTAATTTTATGTTGACAAGGTGTGGATTTTTTAAAAATTAATTTTTATTAATTAGACAAGGCGTGATTTTTTTTAAATTAATTTTTATTAATTAGACAAGGCGTGGATTTTTTTAAAAATTAATTTTTATTAATTAGATAAGGCGTGATTTTTTAAAAATTATTTTTTTTAATTAGGCAAGGCGTGATTTTTTAAAAAAATAATTTTTATTAATTAGAGAAGGCATGATTTTTTTAAAAATTAATTTTTATTAATTAGCCTTTTATTAATTATATACCTGTATATATGAATGACCATGAAAATATGCCATACGGGTCCTAGTCACCGCCTTCCGTTTTATATCACATATATGATTATCGAAATGAGCACTTCGAAATGCCGCACTTGGATTTGAAGACATCAGCCACGTTATAATTACAAAAATTAACAATAAGTTTAATTCCATGGCGATGATTTTAAGTGGCCAACTTAATTATCGAAGCCTTTCCAAGAAACTGACTATTTGATTTCACAACAATAAAACAAATCAGAATTTTCAATACAAATTTCTTTCAAATAATCACATATTTGTTAGATAAAAACAGTATTGAATGAAAACTATGCGAATCCGTTCATTTCCATGGGAATTACAAATTCCGCTGGCGTTTTCATTTTGCGAACTGGACCAGTTTTGATAAAGAAGCAGAGCAGACGTCATACTCAGAAATTGTTTTGAAATAAATATTGATTTTTTTGCCATACGACGTGGATTTTTAAAATTTCAAAAAAATGGCTTCTTACCTGCATCGATGAATAAACATAGGGTTCATATTTGTATTTGATATTTCCTAGCCAGCCAAGCTTGGTTGTCAAGCGTTCACCATTGTTCCACTGTATCCGGGTTTTGCTCACATATTTTTTGTCCGTACACCATTGGGCTAAACTCTGATGATGATGACTGACCATCAGGCTCCATAGGCAGACCACATGAAGGACATTTCCGAAACCAATCATTATTCGAAAATAATTTTTTTTTTGAACTAATAAATTAAAATAATCCGTTATGGCGTTGGATGCAATTTCAGTCAATGAATGGGATCAAATATTTCACAATAATGAAATGGAAACTGAATGAGCGGAAAAAAACAGAAAAGAAAATATAAAATATTTTATTTATCGCAAACTATTTTATTTGTTTTCTCGCACAGATACAAGAGTGGGTCGAAATTAAAACAGATACTATGATATTACAGCGGCTCACAGAAAAAAAAAAAATTTAAAAAATCCACGCCTTGTTTCGATGGACCTTAAAAAATGATTTTTAAAAAATCCACGCCTTGTTTCGATGGACCTTAAAAAATGATTTTTAAAAAATCCACGCCTTGTTTCGATGGACCTAAAAAATGATTTTTAAAAAATCCACGCCTTGTTTCGATGGACATTAAAAAATGATTTTTAAAAAATCCACGCCTTGTTTTGATGGACCTAAAAAATGATTTTTTAAAAATCCACGCCTTGTTTCGATGGACCTTAAAAAATAATTTTTAAAAAATCCACGCCTTGTTTCGATGGACCTTAAAAAATAATTTTTAAAAAATCCACGCCTTGCTTCGATGGAGCTTAAAAAATAATTTTTAAAAAACCAACGCCTTGTATGTAGGGACCTTAAAAAATAATTTTTAAAAAATCCACGCCATGTATGTAGGGACCGTAAAAAATAATTTTTAAAAAATCCACGCCTTGTATGTAGGGACCTTAAAAAATAATTTTTAAAAAATCCACGCCTTGTATGTAGGGACCTTAAAAAATAATTTTTAAAAAATCCACGCCTTGTATGTAGGGACCTTAAAAAATAATTTTTAAAAAATCCACGCCTTGTATGTAGGGACCTTAAAAAATAATTTTTAAAAAATCCACGCCTTGTATGTAGGGACCTTAAAAAATAATTTTTAAAAAATCCACGCCTTGTATGTAGGGACCGTAAAAAATAATTTTTAAAAAATCCACGCCATGTATGTAGGGACCGTAAAAAATAATTTTTAAAAAATCCACGCCTTGTATGTAGGGACCTTAAAAAATAATTTTTAAAAAATCCACGCCTTGTATGTAGGGACCTTAAAAAATAATTTTTAAAAAATCCACGCCATGTATGTAGGGACCGTAAAAAATAATTTTTAAAAAATCCACGCCTTGTATGTAGGGACCTTAAAAAATAATTTTTAAAAAATCCACGCCTTGTATGTAGGGACTTTAAAAAATAATTTTAAAAAAATCCACGCCTTGTATGTAGGGACCTTAAAAAATAATTTAAAAAAAATCCACGCCTTGTGTCGATGGACCTTAAAAATAATTTTTTTAAAAATCCACGCCTTGTGTCGATGGACCTTAAAAATAATTTTTTTAAAAATCCACGCCTTGTGTCGATGGACCTTAAAAATAATTTTTATAAAAATCCAGGCCTTGTGTCGATGGACCTTAAAAATAAGTTTTTTAAAAATCCACGCCTTGTGTCGATGGACCTTAAAAATAATTTTTATAAAAATCCAGGCCTTGTGTCGATGGACCTTAAAAATAAGTTTTTTAAAAATCCACGCCTTGTGTCGATGGACCTTAAAAATAATTTTTTTAAAAATCCACGCCTTGTGTCGATGGACCTTAAAAATATTTTTTTTTTTTAAAATCCACGCCTTGTGTCGATGGACCTTAAAAATAATTTTTTTAAAAATCCACGCCTTGTGTCGATGGACCTTAAAAATAATTTTTTTAAAAATCCACGCCTTGTGTCGATGGACCTTAAAAATAATTTTTTTAAAAATCCACGCCTTGTGTCGATGGACCTTAAAAATAATTTTTTTTTTTTAAAAATCCACGCCTTGTGTCGATGGACCTTAAAAATAATTTTTTTTAAAAATCCACGCCTTGTGTCGATGGACCTTAAAAATAATTTTTTTAAAAATCCACGCCTTGTGTCGATGGACCTTAAAAATAATTTTTTTTTAAAAATCCACGCCTTGTGTCGATGGACCTTACAAATAATTTTTTTAAAAATCCACGCCTTGTGTCGATGGACCTTAAAAATAATTTTTTTTTAAAAATCCACGCCTTGTGTCAATGGACCTTAAAAAATAATTTTTTTTTTAAAAATCCACGCCTTGTGTCGATGGACCTTAAAAAATAATTTTTAAAAAATCCACGCCTTGTATGTAGGGACCTTAAAAAATAATTTTTAAAAAATCCACGCCTTGTATGTAGGGACCTTAAAAAATAATTTTTAAAAAATCCACGCCTTGTATGTAGGGACCTTAAAAAATAATTTTTAAAAAATCCACGCCTTGTATGTAGGGACCTTAAAAAATAATTTTTAAAAAATCCACGCCTTGTATGTAGGGACCTTAAAAAATAATTTTTAAAAAATCCACGCCTTGTATGTAGGGACCTTAAAAAATAATTTTTAAAAAATCCACGCCTTGTATGTAGGGACCTTAAAAAATAATTTTTAAAAAATCCACGCCTTGTATGTAGGGACCTTAAAAAATAATTTTTAAAAAATCCACGCCTTGTATGTAGGGACCTTAAAAAATAATTTTTAAAAAATCCACGCCTTGTATGTAGGGACCTTAAAAAATAATTTTTAAAAAATCCACGCCTTGTATGTAGGGACCTTAAAAAATAATTTTTAAAAAATCCACGCCTTGTATGTAGGGACCTTAAAAAATAATTTTTAAAAAATCCACGCCTTGTATGTAGGGACCTTAAAAAATAATTTTTAAAAAATCCACGCCTTGTATGTAGGGACCTTAAAAAATAATTTTTAAAAAATCCACGCCTTGTATGTAGGGACCTTAAAAAATAATTTTTAAAAAATCCACGCCTTGTATGTAGGGACCTTAAAAAATAATTTTTAAAAAATCCACGCCTTGTATGTAGGGACCTTAAAAAATAATTTTTAAAAAATCCACGCCTTGTATGTAGGGACCTTAAAAAATAATTTTTAAAAAATCCACGCCTTGTATGTAGGGACCTTAAAAAATAATTTTTAAAAAATCCACGCCTTGTATGTAGGGACCTTAAAAAATAATTTTTAAAAAAATCCACGCCTTGTATGTAGGGACCTTAAAAAATAATTTTTAAAAAATCCACGCCTTGTATGTAGGGACCTTAAAAAATAATTTTTAAAAAATCCACGCCTTGTATGTAGGGACCTTAAAAAATAATTTTTAAAAAATCCACGCCTTGTATGTAGGGACCTTAAAAAATAATTTTTAAAAAATCCACGCCTTGTATGTAGGGACCTTAAAAAATAATTTTTAAAAAATCCACGCCTTGTATGTAGGGACCTTAAAAAATAATTTTTAAAAAATCCACGCCTTGTATGTAGGGACCTTAAAAAAT